TTTTATCTTGAGTCTATAGGACTTTTTATAAGTTAAATGGGTTTCTTAGAGACAGCAGAGACAGTTGGGTTGTGGTTTCTTTTATCCATTCTATCAATATTTACCTTTTAAGTGGGACATTTAGACCATTTACATTCAAAGTTAATGTTCATAAGTGAGATACTCTTCCAGTCATTATGTTGATTGTTACCTGGTTGCTTTGTATTCTCTCTTGTGTTACTGTTTTATAAGAGCTGTGAGTTTTTATTTTCTAGTGTTTTTACACTGGTGAATATTGACCATTCTTTTCAGTATTTAGAGCACTTCTGAGCATTTCTTGTAGGGCAGGTCTAGTGGTGACAAATTCCCTTAGCATTTAACTTGTATGGGAAAGATTTTATTTCTCTTTCATTTATGAAACTTGGTTTTTCAGTATACAAAACTCTTGGCTGACAGTTATTCTGTTTCAGAAGACTATAGAGATGGAACTGCAATCCCTCTGGCTTGTAAGGTCTCTATTGAAAAGTCTGCTGTTAGTCTGATGAGTTTTCCTTTATAACTTACTAGACACTTTCATCTTGTAGCTTGTAGGATTTTTCTACTTCACTTTGGCTTTGTCCAGACTGATGACTATGTGACTTGGTGGTATCCTATTTACAATGAATCTTGCAGGAGTTCATGGACCTTCTTGTATCTGGATGTTTAAATCTCTAGCAAAACCAGGGACATTTTCCTCTATTATTCCTTCAAATAAGTTTTCCATGCTTTTGCTTTTTCTTCTTCTCCTTCAGGGATAACTATGATTCTTATGTTTGGGCATTTTAGATAATTCCATATTTCTCTAAGACTTTGTTCATTTCTCTTGATTTTTTTTCTTTATTTTTGAATGACTGGGTTAATTCAAAAGCCTTGTCTTCAAACTGAAATTCTTTCTTCTGCTTGATTTAGTCTGTCCTTAAGACTTTCCACTGTATTTTGAAATTCTCTAAATAAGTCTTTCATTTTCAGAAGTTCTATTATGTTTTTTGTTAATATATCTCTCTTGAGTGAATTTTCATTCATGTCCTGAATTATTATTAGTAGTAGTAGTAGTATTAGTTTCTTTGTGTTGGTTTTCAACATTCTCATCAATCCCATTGAGCTTGCTTGCAATCTGTATTTTGAATCCCATATGTGACATTTCAAAAATTTCCTTTTGCCTAGAGTCCATTGTTGGAGAGCTAGAGTGACCCTTTGGGGATGTCAAAAGAGCTTGTTTTTTCATATTGCCAGAACTCTTATGCTGCTTCCTTCTCATCTGGAACCTCTTCCCTCAGCTCAAAGCAGATAGTTTTGCAGTTCATTTGTTCTCTGCTGGGAACTCTGCACCTCAGTGTAGAGAGGAGAGGTGCACTGCCTTTCAGTTGATGCAGGTGGGTACCCACTATGGTGTTGCTGGCCATTTGGGTCAGTTGGACCTTATACCCCAAGGAGAGTGTTCAGGTGCCAGCAGCAGTGGACTACATTGGGTAATATCCAGTTTGCAGGCCCTTGGATAGTATACTTGAGTTCTGGGGAACCAGAGGGAGATTGGGCTGGCAAACTTGCCCTCAAGCCTCCTCAGTGAGTTCAGGAACTGGCCATTATAGTGAGGGGCATGGTGATCTCCTGTTCCAGAAGAATGCAAAGGCAGAAGAAGGGCGGATGCATTGTGATCCTGCAACAGAAGGGATAGGACTCTTATGACAAGATGGAGAGGCAGGCAACTATGGGATTCACAATCCACTCACACCTCCTTCTCTCAGCAGTGAAAGTGGTCTCTGCCCACAAAAGCACCCAGCTTACCAGCTCTCACCCTGACCCAGCTGAAGCAGCTCAACCTACTGTGTGCAGGGCTACCAGACTGGCTATGGGCTGTGACTAAAATGCCCCAGTGGGATAAGTGTGGTTGTGCCAAAAACTTGCCTCCAGGGAGAGGGTTGGTTTCTCCGAGAAGAGGCGGGCAACTTGGAGGGAGGACTGTTAACTTCACCTTTTCTCAGTGGAAGTGGTTGCTTTTGTCATTGGGGTGCAGAAAAGCACTTGCTGTGGCTTTTTAGAGGGAAAGGAGTGAGGCCAAAGCTCCGTGGAATCCTGGGTGTTATGGGTGCTCTGTCAGAAGCAGGGCAGCCTCCCCCAAGTACCCTGTCTTAATCATCTCCTGTGGAACCCTCCCTGGTCCCAAGCCAAAAGAGCCACAGTTGCCTCAGCAGCAGTGGGTAGGGGAGAGGAGGAGGAGGAGAAGGCCCAGAATGATGGAGAGCTGGTGCCCTGGTCCTCTTTGTCCTAAGGGGTGCTCTGGCATGTTGCAGACTCCTCTCAGCTAGAAGCAGCCCACCCTGAACGTCTGGGAGACCCACAGTTTCCCCAGGATTCCCTGGTCCCCCAAGGCTACTGTGGTCCTGGTGTGTGTTGAGGGGTGTGGGGTGTGGATGCAGAGATATAGAGACCCAGGTGCTGAGACAGCTGCAAAAGCACTGCCTATCAGTGAAGGGAGGGAAATGAGCTGCTCCCTCCATGTAGAACCCGTGCACAGTGAGCAGAGTACTATTGGGGGTGTCCTCTCATGCAAGCCTAGAACTGGCCATCCTGCAGCTCACCACCTGCACCAGTAGCTCATGCTTGAGAGCAGAGGCAGCTATGTCCACAGCATTGGGTGGTTAGAGGAGGGGAGGTCCCCATCTCCACGCCCCTTCCTGGGCTGAGCAGCTTTAAACTCCCAAAATGGCACCTTGGGCCTGTGACCCTAGAGGTTGGGGCATCTTCCAGGTAAACACCATGGGCAAGATGTTGGGTGGAGTGTGGTCGTTCCCATCTCAATCTCCCTGCAGCTTGTAGCAAGGAATTGGGAATTGTCCTAGGAGTAGATAGGAGCGCTTGGGCTCCCCTATCTCTCTTCAGCTGGGAGGGGCTGCATCACCTGGAATTTAGCCTGAAGGTGGGATACAGCCCAGTTTCAACCTCCCAAACTAGTGCCCTGGACCTGTGACCAGAGAAGCAGGACCCTTCTCAGACAGGCTGTACTGGTAGGAAACTGTGGGGAGTGCAGTTTGTGAGAGGCTCAATCCTACAGCAGCAAGCACTGCCCTAGATATGTGCTGGAAAGGCGGGTTTCTCTGTCCCTCCCCAACCTGGCAGAGGAGACAGCCATGTCAAGTCCAAATCCAGCCCGAGGGCAGGGCATAGCCCAGTGTCAAACCCTCAAAGTGGCACCTTAGATCTATGACCAGAAAGGCTGGGGCCCCACCAAACAGACAGCATGGACGAGAAACTGTGGAAAATGCTATCTGCTCGTATCTCAGTCTCAAAAGCAGCCCACAGCAGGGCAGTGGAGACCTTACCAGGGGTACATGGTAGATAGGAGCACTTGGGCTCCTCAGTCCCTCCTTGGAGCCACTCAGGGGCTGCAGGCACACTTGCAATTTGCCAGTGTCTAGGCTCTCAGAATGATGCCCGGCTCAAGCTGGTCTAAGCTCTCATGCTTGCGTGATTCCATTGAATTCCCCTTTTGGGACAACATCTCTGTGCAATCTCCAAGTAGCTCCCTATGTTAGGCCCGAGACTTGTGTAGGTTGGGGGAGCTCATTTGTAGACAAGATTGTAAAAGCACATTTTGGAGAGTGGAGCCCTGGGGGCTTCTCTCTTACTGTTTCACTGTATGCAGAAGCTTCTCCCAGATATTAGCTGGCCCCAGGCCAGGCACATTGCCCTGAACCCTCTCCTTGCCCACTTTTGGTGCTTTTGGTCACTTCCCTGGTGAGTGCTAGTGTTCTCTCTTAGACAATCTGTTCAAATGTGAGAATCTGCTTACTCTTCTGGTGCTTCTCTATGGAGGAAGCACATACTACCTGTGTCTAGTCAGCCATCTTGATCCTTCTCCCTTCACTTATGATACTGGCAAAAAACAAAACAAAACGGAGGTGATCGATACTGTATTTTGATCATAGGAGTGCAGGGAGGCAGTAAATGTCAGGCGTTTGCTAATGTAATTTGTTGTATTCTTGATATACGTAAGCACAGCCTCTACTGGGGCCTATATAGCACTGTCTATCTGAACTCCGTATTTATTGAACCAAAAGTCCACTTCTGGGAATTTATCTGACAGATAAGATTGTGTTTGTGAGTGATGATCTATGTAAAAAGTAATTTCTTATACTACTGATTAAGGTTTCACAAGGTTAGAAACTATACAAATGTTCACTGATGGGAAACTTCCATACAAGGAAAAACCACATAGCTGTGAAAGAAAACAGATAATTCTCTCTATACTAATACGGAAAGATCTCCAAGATACACTCTACACAGAGAGAGCAAGAATTCATAATAGTGTGTATGGAGTGCTATCTTTAGTGTAAATAAGAGGCAAAATAAGAATATATTTTTACTTACATTTTTTACATTTAACAAGCAATTACTTAACACTCACTATATGTCAGGCACTTTATAAGCATTAATTCAATCCTTCTAACCTCAGGCACTATCATTACCCCATTTTACACATTAGGGCACTAGGAACACAGATTAAAGAATTAGTCCAGGGTCACACTGCTGATCAACACTGGAGCCCACATTAGAACTCAGGCCCTCTGGCACCAAAGTTCATGTTCTTAACCATTGTAGTAAGCTGACTAACGAGAAGCTAATAAACAGAGGGAGGAAGCACTGGGTGGGTGGGAGACTTTTTTATATATGTATTTTTTTAACCATATAAATTTATTATCTACTGAAAAATTAAATGAGAAAAAATATGTGTGACTGTGCTCAAGTCACTTACTTTCCATGGGAGAGGCAGACATTTCGAGAGAAGTAATGGTAGCAGGTTGTAGAAGGGCTTACCAAAGTCTTATCCAAAGTTGTCTGAGACTTTAGGAAGAGAAAGATTGTTTAGCCTCATGAGACAGGTTCCATGGCCCCCGCCCTGGGGGAGCAGCTAAAGCTCGAGGTGCTGCGGGCTGGGAAGACAGAGCCACAGCGCCCCCGACCCACAGACTGTCCCTTTGCAGACCCCTTCTTCAGGAGTGCCCAGCCCTGGATCGCCACCCTGGCAGGGACCCTGCCCATCTCGCTGTTGCTTCTCACAGTGGCTAGTTACTTCTTGTGGCAACAGCAGGAGAAAAAAATGACTCTGTTGAGGGAGAAAGAGAGAGAGCAAGAGATGAGAGAATTGGCACAGAGCACAACGGAGCAGGAACGAAGCACAAGAGGTATCTGACCCTGGGAGGGAATCTAAGCCCCTGGGTTATAGGCCTGAGCCCAGAGACCTCACCCACATCCCCACCTTGGCACTGGGTGGTTTTTAAGGTTTGTTATTCAGAAAATCCTCTTTCCTGTAACACTTCATTATTTTTTCTGCTTATTTTCCAGAGATGCTCGAGGAAGAACTCAGTAAGTTCCTATTTCCCCAGACACTCAGGGATGTCTTCCTATCCCTGCGTTACATACCTTGATGACTCTTCCTTGTTTATTCCGTTTCAGAGTGGAGAAAAATCCAGTACATGGCTCGTGAGTGGCTCTGACACTTTCTCTGAATTCAAACCTATGACTCTCTTTACTTGGATATTTTCCAATCCTTAATTCTTTGCCCAGGGTTGGGAAATGATCCTAGATAACTTTGACCAGGAAAAGGAAATCATCATGGTATGCCAAGTCATAATCAAAAAAAAGAAAAAGGGAAAAAGCAAAAAGGAAAATAAGTGCGTTTCACTGGAGTGACACCAAGAAGAGTCTCTCTCTCTCTTTCTCTCTCTCTCTCAATGAGAAAACAGGCCATCAGTCACTGTCCATGAGAGGCCGCATACTCTTTAGCCCTGTAAGGCATTGCAGAATATCCATGGGTGCACTTGAAAAGGAAAGGGTAAAGGGAAGATGAAGTGCCTTCTCTGTGCCAGCAACTTCACAAGTTGCTTCACATCATCTATAAGTTGCTAAGAAGAAAAGAAGAATGGAAGATAATAAGGAACAAGAAAATCAGAAGTGAGACAGAAAGAAAAGTCTCTCATAAACAGGATGAGCTAGTGTAGCTCAGTTAGTACAGATAAATTACGACTGTTTTCAAAAATTAGTCTCTGAAATTTTTTAAGTTCCCCAGATTCTATTCAGAGGAGGATAGAAAACGATAGAGGTTGGGACAGATGAAACTTGTACACATATACATATACATATAGACATGGTGACACATACAACATGTATAGGAGTATGGCCACATATAAAATAGATCAGCTGGACCACATCAGGAAGTTCCTTACATAGTATCTGTGGTGTCACTGGCATTCAAGTGATGTCCCCTGAATTGATATAAAGGACGAGAGGGGAGGAGAAAATTGAACCTGCACAGGGAGAAAGGGTGGGGTGGTCAAAAAGAAGATTCCATGGGTGCAAAAACAGGGCAAAGGGGACAACTCAGGTACGGCAGAGTTCAAGTGACGTCTCTACTTTTCTTTCATTGTAGGTGGGGCGAAGTCTCCAGCCTATAATGGTGAGTGACGCTGATGCTCTCTGAGTTTCCTGGGACACGTGCCCTGAGCATTTCAGCCTTTTCTCTACTGTCACCCATTGACATTCTCACTTGGAGTAATCAGATCTAACCCAAAGGCTCATTTTCAGTGGGGGTTCCACTTCTGCTTTTTGGGAGCCTCTGAGAGAAGCCTGAGGCTGCTGGCACTCATGCACACCCCCTAGCAAACCCTGGCCATGCAGCCAGCAGCCCCTCATGACAAGGGGAACAGAGTCCACCATTTTGTAGAAGTTGCCACCCCTGATCCATCAGAGCCGCAGAGGAGGGAAGGTGGACAATGGAAGAGACTCTGAAGAAAAGGAGAGAGAAAAGACTGAGTGAGGAGAATGGGGTGGGGAAGAATAGAAATATTGACCTTTTTTTTTTTTTTTTATCTATGTCTCCTTCCTTTCAGAATGGAAAGTGGCCCTCTTCCAAGCTGGTGAGTAAATCACTGTATGTTCCCTAGGCCAACAACCTGAGGGACCATATCCCTTCCTCTTCTCCAACTTTTGAGGTTAAGAGAAGAAAAGTCTCCATGACAAGGAGACTTTTGGGTGGGCAACATGAGGTTCCAACTGCAAGCATGCCCATCTCCAGGACCCTGCCTGCTGAGAACATAGGGACCCAGGGAGAATTGCTGTCTTGGGCTTCCACAGACCTTCATGGGAAGGAAGAGGCATGAAGTGTGGAGCTGAGGAGCAGGAGACACAGACTGAAGAATATTGCAGGGACAGTGAGGATGGGAAATGCCAAGGAGAGAAGGCAATGCCTGCCCAGTCTTCATATGCCACCCACTGGCTCTGTGTGTGCTCAAAGGATTCAATGTGTCTGAGCTTTGGCCTCCACATTTTTAGATGACGATTGTAATTCCTATTTTGTAAGCATTGAGGTGAAGACTGAAGAAGGTAATGAATATGTATTGGAAAAAACCTAGCAAGAAGGAAACAGCATGTTCAAAATGGGTGTTTGAAGAAGGTTTAGAGAAAATAGGGTTAAGAGAAAGCAACAGGGGAAAGTGCATTGACTCAGGGGTCCCAACAGTGGGGATCTGTCTCCACCTCTAGACTTCAATATTAGGGGCAGGGGGCCTGTATGGGAACCCAGAGGACGCTGTAGCTGAAAGAGAGGGCTGCCTGAGAAGAGTCAGGCCTTCCTCAGAGCAACACCATCTGTTGCTGGCGGGAGGAAGCAGGGAAAATAAATGCTGTACTTCTCTCATCTCTCTCCCTCCAATCTTCTGCCAGGGCCTGCCATTGGCCTAACCCAACAGGAAACCAAAGGACATGGGAGCCCAGTGGCACTGTCCATAGAGGACAGAGTTCTGGGTCCCGGAACAGGGTGGAAAAACGTAAAGTGTGGAAAATGGGTTCGACGGGCATATAAAGCCCCTAACATAGACCCTAGCATGGAGCAGGCATGGCAGCCATTATAACTTCACATGTTGCCTTTGTGTCTGCCCTTGGATGAATAAATTACATTGTTGTCTTAGACAACACCAGGTTAGCATTTTCACATAAGGAAATGCTTCACATAAGGCTCAAAAATGTTCCATGGCTGGGACATGTGGAAAAATAGATTCAGAAAAGGAAAACTCATTCAACACATGAGTAGTAGAGTGCAGACTGAAAGTTAAATCTACGAGTATAAAGACAGTTTGGCACAGTCAAATTTGGGAAGGACACAAGAAAAAGGTAGTGAGAAGGAGGCCTGTTGCTTGCTGAGGCAGCATCAGGATATCAGGATATCAGGTTAGGCAGACTGCAACCCTCATTTCACCCTCCCCTCCCCATTGGACAAAACCCCGGGGCTTTCTCTCATGATGTTAATGAGAGTCACATTCAGGGAAGGCTGGGGACACCAGGCTCTGGACTCTGGCCGCCTGGGCAAGGCCCAAGCCTTATATGCTGAAGCTCTGAGGTCCAGGAAAATGGCTGACCCCACAGACAAATCGTGTAACTCTCTGCAGCGGATGTGACTCTGGATCCAGACTCGGCAAACCCCATCCTCCTTTTGTCTGAGGACCTGAGGAGTCTGCAGCGTGCAGAGGAGAAACAGGACCTTCCAGACATTCCTGAGAGATTTAATTGGCATCACTGTGTGCTTGGGCAAGAGAGCTTCACATCAGGGAGACATTACTGGGAGGTGGAGGTGGGGGACAGGCAAGAATGGCACATTGGAGTGTGTAGGAGGAATGTGGAGAGAAAAGGTTGGGTCAAAATGATACCTGAGAATGGATTCTGGACTATGGGACAGTCCGGTGAGAATAACTATCGGGCTCTGACTGAACCCAGGACCAAACTGACGCTTGCTGGACCGCCTGAAAGAGTGGGGGTTTTCTTGGACTATGAGACTGGGGAGGTCTCCTTCTACAATGCCATAGATGGATCTCATATTTACACCTTCCTGCGCACCTCCTTCTCTGGGCCTCTGTGTCCTGTTTTCAGAATTTTGACGTTGGAGCCCACTGCACTGACCATTTGCCCAGCACCAAAAGAAACGGAGGGACTGAGAATGCCAGGCTCTGTTCCTGACCTAGCTCCTGACCTTTCCCTGGAGACTCCAGTGACCTCAGGCTTAGCTAATGAAACTAGGGAGCCTCAGGGTGAAGTGACATGTCCCCTTCTCCCTGCCCAGTCTGGAGCTGAAAGTCTCCCCATCCACAGCAACCATCACAACCATAAAGCTACATGCACAGCCTGAAGCACTTTACTCATTCAATTATTCCATATGACAGTGGTTTGAGTTTGGCGCCACTTTATTGTCCCCTTTGTACAAGTAAGAACTCTACATAAAGTGAATTAGCTTTCCAAAGGTGACATGGCTAGCAAACGACACAGCTGGGATCCGAACAATAACTACCATTTACAGACTTAAAATACACTGGGTATATTTTAAATAAATGCACTAAGTGGATTTCACTCATTTAAGCCTCACAACACTCTGTGAGGTAGTCTCATTTTGCAGATGTGGCAGTTGATGTGGGACAAAATTCAGTAACTTCTGTAACTCATACAGTAAGTTGTGCAGCTGGAAGATGCTCCGCCTCGGTCCCTGACCACCTGCCCATTCTTGTTTTCCAGCCTCATTTTCCCCATGGGAAGGGACCATGTGCAGCCCTCAGATTCTCTTCCCAGAGCAGCCACAGGGCAGGGGTCCTTGTGGGTGGCTGTAGGGGCTACACCCCTCCTGAGTCCTTCACAGCTGATTGTCAGAGCCTTGCATCCGGCACTCTTGGGTTGGCTTTGCATGGTGTCTTGGTCTAGAGAATAAACTCACTATAACCATATCGCACAGGACTGAGGAAGGGACTAAAGGCCAAACTCTAAATTAACAATAGGGCAGCACAGGTGTGCCCACCCTATAAATGGGATAAGTGATCCTGGAACCAATATCAATCTTCCTATGCTCAACGTCTCTAGGAAGTGCGGTTAATAGCCTAAAGACTGTCAATGAAAAAAGAATTGGGGGGGAAGGAAGCTAGAAGAACATCAAGGGTATTTTTAATCCCAGTGTAGAATCCATCTCCAGGAATGGGGTATATTCACCGTGATCACTGGTGAATACTAAACCACCATTCCTTTCAACTGATGGATACTAAGAAAAAACTGCTCTTACTTATCATCTCTGTTATTGTTCACCACTGTATCCCCTCTACCTGGTGTGCGGTTGTCAAGTTTTATGTGTACAATAAAATTGTTAATAATCCTCACCGTTTTCAGTTTGGCTTTTTCTAGGCTCTCACAAGTCTGCTCAGCACAGTAGAGTAGCCTACACACCCTCTCTACCCATCACAGTTTCACAGTTTACCTCATTGCAACATTTGTACCAAATCTTAATTATTATAAGCTTTCTACCACTACAAGAAAGAATTATCACAAATTCAGAGACTTAAAACAAAACTCATTTATTATCACACAGATCTTTAGGTCAGAAGTCAGACATGGATCTCACTGAGCTAACATCTAGGTGTCTGCAGCCTGCATTCCATTCTGGAGGCGCGAGGGAAGGAGTTGTTTCCTTGCTTTTTCACATTGTTGGCAGATTTCAGGTCCTTGGAGTTTTAGAACTGAGGTCCTAGTTCCCTGCCGGTGGTCATAGCTGAGGGCTGTTCCAAGCTCTAGATACTTGGAACAGCCTGGCTCCTGGCTCCCTTCCTCCATCTCCAAAGCAGCAACAGCGGGCTGAGTCTTTCTCAATCTTTGAATTTTTCCTGGTTCTTCTATTGCATCTCTCTGACTCCTCTGCCTTCTACTTTTGTGTACTTGTGCCATTAGATTGAGTCTGCCCAGACAAGTTAGGATAATCTCTCTATTTTAAGGTCAATACCTTAATTCCATGTGCAAGGCCCATTTTGCCATGTAATATATCATATCTGCAAGTTTTACAGTGGCTATTGCTGGGAGGGTGGGAGCAGTGTTTAGCCTAGCAGTCATATTTGGGAAGTGTTCCCAGAAAACACAAGTGCAGAAATAAAGTGAGACAGAGAAGGGAGAAAGCCGGTTATGTAAGGAATGGTATAAAGAGTTCTTTAATGAGCTAGGAAGAGTGTGGACGACTTGGCTCAATCCCACCCAGGACTCTAAGAAACCATATGACATGATGGAATATACCAGAATCTTTCTAAGAGCTGGAAAGCTGGAGAAATTCGTCCATATCTTGCATCCTCCTTTGCTCGAATTGGTTGAAATTTGCTTCTGGGGAGTTAATTTTGCTGTAATTTGAGATTGGGCTGTGTATGTGCAAAAAATCCAACATCGCTGGTGATGGAGAAAGCCCTCAGGCAGAGGAGATGAGAGGCAGATACCTGAGGTAGGACATTGTGATCCACACAAGAAACTTCCTTCCTCATTTTTTGATGAGATAGGCCAAAAGAACATGGATATGGCATCAACAGCATCTGTTCTCAGGCCTCTGCTTTTGCGAATATAGTGAGTGCCTGTCAAGGTCTCTCTGTACCCCCTTCACCCCATTCATTCATCAGTAGTGACCTGCTGTCTTCCTACACATGTCCGCATCACACTGCCATGCTGCTTCACCACATGGACGGGATCTGGGATGGTCATGTGGCCCAGGCCAGGTCTCCTGTTAATTTTAATTGCTATGTTAAACAGCTTCATATGGTCAGCGTGCTAACTTTCTTGGAAGCTAAAGATTTCAGAATGACCCAGTGGCCAATCATCAAAGCTCGAATTCATAGTTTATTGCAAGACATTCACACACACAATCAAGCTAACATTCACGATGAAATTATTAAAGGCAGCAATGAGGGGGTAATGAAACACGGTGGAGGCTCGGAAGGCCACCCCACCAACACAGGAACTCAAATGAATCTGGACGTCTCTCTCAGGTGCCAACCAGAGGGGCAGTGGCCATTCCTCTTGGGCAGAGCTGTCCTGGCAGCAGCTACCAAAATCGGGAGGAGACTTTCAGAGTCTCAAGAACCCAGATTGTAAAAGCACTCTCATACATTGCCAGCCTCTTGCTGTTTTTACGATTCTCTGCAGGTGTGCTTATTATCCTTATAAGCCTTTGGGTCTTGGGCTGTACTGGGTCACAGCAGATCTTATCTCATCACCTTAGTCTATCACACATATATGGAAAAAAATCAACTTTACTATGAGCTCTGTACACATAGGTTTATCACTTTAAAGAAAAACAATTTTTCTCTGACCTCCATGTTCACATATGCTTATTACTTTGAGGGAAAACAAATGTGCTGTAGGCTTAATGCCACCTAATGTGACTGACTTCGTTTTGAGATATTAGGACCACAAATCATTATTACTAATGAGGCTACAGGACCTCCACGTAATATGTGACCAGTGACTCCTGTAGCAGGTGTGCATGGGAGCTGTGGGAAGGCATCTTCCACTCACAGTGAGGTCCCCAAGAGCAGAGAAAGGTGGACTGTGGAGACAGGAGAGCAAAGCAGATGAGAAGGCTTCAGGGTGGAAAGAGATTGATTCATTTTCTCATCTTTGGTTCCTTTGGGGTCCCAGTATCATTCCTACTGTGTGTCCTGTGAAATTTGTTCTCAAAATGAGGTAAATGTACTGGTTAATATTTATACAGTCCTGGAAGTTAGCAGCTTATGCAACTGTTGTACTATGTTCATTGATTCCACGAGTTAGGTATTTGGAATTGGAACAGGGCAGAGTAGGAATGGTTTTTCTGCATGTCAAAGTCTCTGGGCCTCCCCTGGAAGGACTTTATGTCTGGTGGTGACTCAAAGGGAGAGACACAGCCAAATTTTCTTTACAGATTGGAGTTTACTGCAAAGCAAAAGGGAATCATTCAGTGTTCAGTTGGGATCCTGTTTCCTCCAGGACTAGCACGTACACTAGATCCATGGAGAACTGTGCTAAAGTGACCCTTCCTCTGTGTTTATCCCTCCCATGACAGAGAATGATTGGGTCAGGTTGTCACTATCTAACGTGGCACACACAAGGAGGGCTTGGCTTCCTGCTAAGCTACCTCATTGCCCATGGACCATTCTTCTGCTCAGAACGCATGAGTTTCCCTCTGGTTCGCATCAGCTTGGCAGGGGTAGGGGCATAGTTTAGCAGGATGCCCTTGGCACAAGCTGCCTCAGGAACCCTGGGCCATATTTCTTCCAATAAAAAATCTGAAGCCAGATCTGAGCCTGGCTGGCCAGTCTCTTAGTCCCTCATAGCCACCTCTTCTGTCCCTTCCCAACAGCAGCCCAGTCCTAGGTGGTATGATCCAAGAATTACAATGCTTTGACTCCCATTAGCCACTCCACCCAGAATCTATTTTTAAGTATACTCCAGAAGCATTACGTGGTGGGTGAAGCTGTTATATGAGAAAGTGACAGTTCAGGGATCAGTACAGTGGAAAAGTCAGTTTTCTGGGCTTTCTTTAGCTTATTCTCATCAAAGATCTCCCTTTACAGAGCAAAGAAGGAACCTGCTTTGGTAGCTAATTCTGGGTGATTCCTTCAGTCCTCCTTCCCCGTCCATGAGCTTTGACCTTGAGTGGCTGTCATCTCTCTCTTGGTCTTGGTGCTGGATGAGTGTAGCAACCGGGTCATACTGTCGAGGGAATGACCTTACCCTGACCGTTTTCACTCATCCATTGAACAACCACTGAGTGAAGAGCTTAGGGCCAGGACCTGAAAAAAGAGAGGAATCACATCCTGCAGACATCTGTTCTGAGGAACAGATATTCCAGTCACTGGAAATATGCGATTGATACTTAAATAACAAGGGTGTAGACAGATTTTAGGAATAGTGAAAGCTTCGTGTGTCAGAACAGGCTGAGAATATTTCAGGCAAAAATATCCAGAGGTGTTCTTGGCAGAGATGACATGAAGGCTGGGCAGGATTTCAAGGGGCAGAAATGGAGGGAAAAATTCAGGTGAAGGGAATGGCATAGGAAAGGGAGTGCTGGCTACAGGGAGGGCACTAGTGTGACATAAGGCACCTGTGGAGCCATTGCTAGTGTATTACCTGTAAAGTTCTGAATTGAATCAGAAGGAAATCAGAGACCTCCAGAGGAAGCACTTGGGCACTTTAGGAGAATATTGGCAACTGTGGCTTCGGAAGTTTATTCTGGATGATATCTCTACAACGTGAGGACTAAAACAAAAGACCCTAATTCCTTTGACAAACAGACCCTCCTTTGGCAAAAAGACTCCAAAATCTTTATGTTCTCTCTGTCCATAAGGAGGCAAGAGGTTGGTCAAGTTCCATGTCTTGCCTTATTAATCATTACCAGACTTTCTCGAAGGCCAGATTGAAAGAACAAAAGACCAGAAGACCCTGGTTTAGGAGGTTTTAAAATATCTCAGCTTACTTCATGGGACCCCTGATGCCTTTCCTCCTGTTTTCTCAGTTAAGACAGGACAACTAGTTTCATTCTACAAAACATTGCTTCCTAATAATTGCCCACAGATATCCTACTGGTTTTGGTTGC